CACCCTAAGTTCTTTAAAGGAACCCTAAACCCTTAAAGATACCTTTAAAAGGCACCCTAAATTCTTTAAAGGAACCCTAAACCCTTAAAGATCCCTTTAAAGGCACCCTAAGTTCTTTAAAGGAACCCTAAACCCTTACCCTAAATTCAACTTTTTGATCCTCCCTGAGGCCTTCTGCACGTATCCCGGTCAGCGTTAGTGGCGACTCTTGCGCTGGAGGCCCGCGCTGGTACCGCTTGATATGCTAAGTCTCCCAGGGGGCCTTGTTTTTTGAGGGTTTAGGGGGTGTTAGGGTTTAGGGTTTAGGCTGGTTAAGGGTTTGGGTTTAGGGGTTTAAGGGTTTAGGGTACCGCTTGATATAGGATTGTAAGGATGCCTTTCCGATCTTTGCAAGAATTCCTTGAAGAGCTCTATAGGGTTATGACTGCCTTGGGCTTAAACTCAGGGCTTAAAGGGGTTGAGAGCGGGGCTGGGGTCTAAACACTTTCCACGAGCGTTTTTCTGATGGTTCCGCACCCCTAAGCCTTAAACGGTGGTCTTCTAAATATGTGTCAGAAATACAGTACATACATACATACATACATACATACATACATACATACATACATACATACATACATACATACATACATATATATATATACACACGTGTATATGTACATACATATATATGTATAAAAAATATGTATATATATATATATATATACATATATATTCGTAATTATACTTTATTTCTACATACATAGTTTATTTATACATGCATTTTTTACATATTTTACATATTGGGCCTTCAGGTTTGGGGTTAGAGGGCTCAGGGTGTTGAAAGTGGAGTGGCTCGTGAGCCGGTTTTCATTCTTGGCTGAACGTCTTGGATGACGGGGTTGACGGTTTGGGGTTTACGGTTCATGGTGAAGGGATTAGGGTTTAATGTGAACGGTTTAAGGTATACGAAAATTTTTATGATTGAGGGATTTTTCGATTTCCTGGTTGAAGGTTCTGGATGACGCTGTGGCGCATACCTGGATGCTGACGCCCCAGGAGCGGCAAGAGCTGAAAGCCCAGGCACTGGCTCTAAGGGCTTCCTTCTAAACCCTAAACCCTAAACCCTAGAACCCTAAACCCTAAGCCCTAAAGCTCTAACGCCAGACCATAAACTCAAACAGGATGCTACAAGGGTTTAGGGTCTAGGGTGTGGCTTTCAGAGCTTTGGGGTTAGGCTGGGTATTTGGGGGTTTTCTGCAAGGGTTCCTATTCGGTTTCCTTCAAGAGTTCTTTCCAGGTTTCCTGTATAGGGGGTTTACAACTGTTCCTTTCGGGTTTCGGGGATGTGCAGCTTAGTTGCGTCGGTGCAAGTTCTGAATATCTGGGGGGCTTCTTGTCGTGACTGACATAAGCACGAAATGCGCTGTCTAGTTGTTTCGGTCGAGAGCATTACCGGGCTGTTATCAAGTTGGTTATGATGGTGTAATGATTCGGGCTCTCTAGATTGGGAGTGTTGACCACGCGCATCTCCATCACACTGTTGACCACGCAAACGGATTTGAACAAAGCGTTTGGTTGCACGTTGCGTGCCGCATTCTGACCGGATGTACTTGTCGTCACCGGCTTTCCAACCTTATGGGATCAAGAACGATTTCAACCTGTAAGCGAAACCATAGAGTTTCCGTCATCTTTGAAGCGGCTCGAACACCCTTGATCCGGATATACCATTTCAAGCTACTTGGCTAAGGGATTCTGCTGGACTACTGTTTTGTTATTACGACTACTACTACTACTACTACTACTACTACTACTACTCCTGCTGCTGCTGCTGCTACTACTACTACTGCTGCTAGTACTAGTACTAGTACTACTACAGCGACTATTCATGACACATCTCGACACTTGAGTGCTCTGTTGGCTGACCTCCACCGTCTGCTTCGCCGCTCATGGCAGCAAACTATACTGGTCTGTTTTGGGAAGCGAAGCCCCAACAGAGGGATTAATACTGGGTGGAAAGCACGGGCATATCTTACTGTAAGTACAGAGAGACTGCGACGAAATACGTTCCAATATTGTTGCTGTTGTACCTTTGTTCAACACGCACATGCCTTCTCAGTCAACAACACGTCTTGGATCTTTTATGAGACAGTTGCTTGCTTCGGGCTCCTGATGGTGAATTTGGGATTTTGGTGTATCTTCTGCATACGTTTCCTTGGGGCTAAAACAGGAATACGACCCCAGGGTCTACTGGGGCCGAAGGGACTGGCCAGCTCATCAGCTTCATGTTTCTCATTTACTCCAAGTGAGAGCTCCGGTGCAATGAACCGTGCCATGGACGATCATTGAAAAAACTCGGGTTTAGGGTTTAGGGCCGTTTAGGGTTTGGGGCTTAGGGTTTTGGGCTGCAGGGATCTTTCTGAAGGCTGCGGCATGGGAATATATATATATATATGGCCATAGTTTAATTGCGGTTTGGGCTGCAGGGAGGTTCTGAAGGCTGCGGAATGGGCTGTAGGGAGTGACGTTTAAGCAGCAAAGCCCAAATCAACGCACCTGCAAAGGCTGAACTCAGCATGTGCCACATTCAGGGTTTATGGTTTAGGGTTTAGGGTCACATCCTTTTAAGGGCTCCCAGTAGCGGACCGGTGGAATTGGGTGTGCTTCGCTCGTGATCCTATTTCAGCTTTGGTTTCAATCCGTGAAGTCTTGTACGAATGTTGGCCAACGGCTGGATTCAAACGCAAACTGCAAAAGCGCAGGTTGCACACTCATAGTTGAACTGACTCTCGCGTTGGAGCGAACTCAGGCAATGCACCTTGATATGGGGGTTTCCGAAAATGGAGGACCCCAATATAGTTCCCTAAATAGTAGGATCCTTATTACCATGACGCCAACATTAGGTACCCCTTATTTTGGAAAACTCCCATATTATATGCACGAATAGTAACAATGCTTGAGAAGTCCAAACTTCTGAATCGGAGATGTCGAGTTTACCCGAAGCTTCGTTGGGTACTTATGCGCAACCATGCTACTAGACCTCAAAACCTGAACCCTAAACCCTAAACCCTGAACCCTAAACCCTAAACCCTAAAACCCCAAACCCTAAACCCTAAACTCTAAACCCTAAACCCTAAAACCCTAAACCCTGAGCCTAAAACCCTAAACCCTAAAACCCTAAACCCTGAACCCTAAACCTTAAAACCCGATACGCCCTAAGAGTCCACCTGCGACATGATCAGCAGAGAGGCCCCTTAAGAATTACAGTAGGGCTTTAGGGTTTCGGCTTTAGGGTTTATGGGGTTCTGGGGTTCTGGGGTTTAGGGTCTAGGGTTCTAGGGTTTAGGGTTCTGGGGTTTAGGGTTTAGGATAACGAAGTAGCTTCTTTTCTCGATTTTTGCAAGCTGATGAATCTCCGCGCACGCCGACTATGCCAACGTCACGCTCATTCAGGTGACCCGGGTTTGGGGGCAGGTTTAGGGACTACGGTTTGGGGTTTACTCAGAGGTTGGGTACCCTAGCACCAAAAAAAACCTTTCAATTATAGCGTAGGGTTATATAAGCCCCAAAAAGTTAAAGGTTACCTTCTAAACCCTAAACCCTAAACCCCAAATACTCAGACCCCTAGTTCAAGGCTTTCGGGGAGTTTAGGTTCCACAAAACTTTGGGTACATAGGGCTTCGAGCACAGGGTTTAAGGTTTAGGGTTTAGGGTTTAGGGTTTGGGGGGTTTAGGGTTTAGGGTTTGGGGGTTTCGTTGCCTTGTTCCAAGAGTCTAAACGTTTGTCAGTTTCCAGCAGATCAACCCTCCAAACCCTCGGAGGCCGTCGCGCAATGAACTATTAGAGGGTCAAGGCTGTAAGGCTTTAGGGTGAAAAAAACTCTACAAACCGACTAATAAGCAGGCACGCGACTGTGCATGATGTTTTGAGGACCCTGCCGTTGCGATTGAGTGGGAGCCTTCATTTTCCTGAGAGCCCTCATTCGGGACCATGACAATTATGTAGTAAAGGATGCTGCGGCAACATAGGGTACAATGGTAAAAAGATTATGGCAGGATGTTGCTAGCTAGTCAGACTTGTAAACCTAAACAGCTAATAATCATTTTACTTCCGCAAAATACAAACCTAACTACTACTATACTGAGCTTGGTACCATAAGTGTGGCCGTGTTGAAGGGGCTATAATATCCCAAAACTAGGAGTTAATCATTTTCAAAAACCCCTGAGATTAGTTACTTCGGCCGCTGGGACCCTAAACCCTAAACCCTAAACCGGCCTCTGGGACCCTTCGCGTACGCTCCCAAACCACCTGCTCTCGTGGGTTAAGACAGCAGGCGTCCACAGCGCTATCACGGATTCGGGTTTAGGGTTTTAGGGTCTCCCTCCCTAAACCCTAAACCCTAAACGGTTTTAGGGCTTAGGGGTTTAGGGCCCTGTCTCTGCTTTTCTATGACCCGGTTCCATTTTTTCTTTTGAAAGCTCCAAAAAACGTTCCACAAAGTAGTCCTCTGAAGGTTTCCTGCAAGGGTTCCTTTCGGTTCCGTAAGCAGCACTCGGCGTTTCCTGCAGACAATCCATTTTTTTCTAAATCTTTCATTATTTTCTTACTGTGCCTCCTGCAGTGCTCGCCGCTCTCTCGTGTGCCGGGCGAGCCGCGTTTGCAGCCACCCTTGGATGGCTCCGCGATGGGGCCGGATAGCGGCCGGGTCACACCGGAGTTCCTGCGCCTCGCACAGGATCTGCAAGTTCTTGCTGTTGTGCTCCGACTTTTCTGTAGACTCTGTCGCCATGGCAGGAACGCCTCCCCTAAAAGGTTGAAATTGTTCTTTCCTTGTCTCACCATCAGCTTCGCATCTCACCTATTCAACAAAGTTCAGCCCCTCATTTGGCTTGACCTTGCTACGATGGTTTTTTCTGTGGAAGCCTGGAAAAAGAACAACTGGCAAAGGGAACAGGTGCGGACATGGAAATCAACATCTCGAGCTGCCGTGAAACAGGTTCAGCAAGCTGAGCCCTTTCCCTTGAGAAGCTGCCTGAAGCAGGGTAGGCAGCTCCCGAACGCTCAGGTCTTTTATTTCCTAGCAGCACTTTCAGCACTGCGCAAATGCAACAATTGGATCCCAGTCTTCGTCATCCAAGCAAACTCTCAAAGCCCGCGCGCAAAAGCTCCTGCCCACAGAAGGAGATGAAGCCGTCATGAATGGCCTCGTCGAAAACTGCTTGGGGAGGCAACAGCCAATTTTCCACTTTGAACAACGTGCTGGTCATGCACACTCACGTGCGTCACAGGGGGAACGTCTGGATATTGCACTTGTGCCCTCCCCTGTGGCAATGGCACACTCCAGCCTGCCTTTTCCTCCTCACCGTCAAGCGATCGAGCAGACCTGCAGATTAACAGCACAGCACACAGCGCTCACACACACGGAGTTGCCGAAACATGGGGCTGGACTTCAAGACAATCGCAGACTCGCTCAGACTGTGCAAGATACCCTGCAAGCTACACAAATTCACATGAAACATTGCACTGCAGGAAAGGAGCCACAGCCTCATATTGGTGGTCCTTCACGGAAATCAGCCTGATCATGCAACCGACATACCTCACGAGGCACCCATAATGCAACCGGTGCGCCATGGTGGTCCGACCCTGGCGCAACATCCACTCCTTAATCTCGTGCGTTTGAGTAATAACTTCCGCAAAAGCAAGGGTGGCTCACGGAGAGGGCTCGGCCATCGGTTCGGCACCACCAGGAACACACACCTACACTAACACCTCGTTTGAGCAAATGCCAAACTCAAAGCAAGCGTTCAATCTAGCTGTGGAAACCAAAAATGCACCGGGAAACAAGTCACAGCAACGCATAGCCATGATTTTCAGCGACAGTGTACATGCTTGTTGTGAATGTAGCTAGACTGGACAGTGGGATGGGTGATGGGAGCCCTGCTCGGCTCCACGACTCCTGGCCAGCAGTTCATTTGAGGTACCGTTTCTTGCTAAGGTTCGGTCTTGGTAGGAACACCCTCAAAGGAGGGTATAAGGGCGGCCCAGACGATTGTGACCACATTGCTGCATTCTTCCAAAACCC